TTCATCATCAACTTTATGAATTTTGAAGCCTAAATACAAATGCCAGAAGCAAAAAGTTAAATGTAGGCTATAAACAAACGACACCACATTTGCATGACTTTAATTCTTTCAGTCTTTATTTAAAATCATTTTCTCTGAAAGTTTGTTAGAACAGTGAATAAACACAATGAGGCTGTGAAAGCGACTAGTGAGTTTACCTGTTCTTACTTTTACTTACTTTTAATGTCCCCAACAGCCTTTGTTGTCCCATTTAGCCATTTGATAGCAACTGCCTTTTTAAAAATGTTTTAGAATAAAACATGATCTGTGTTCACCACAGACATTATTTCATGCATTTAACCATAAACACATTGAAAAAAAAACATTGGCTTCAGGAAGATGGTGCTAAAAAAGGTTGTTTCTAGGTTTCAGCCTACAAAAATACATCATCCCTGCAGCACTGCTAAAGCACTGGTGATTTATTTACTAATTTGCAACCCTAATGTGTGTTGCACATGGCCTAAAGTAGAGTGAACTGCAGTGTATTGCTGGCATTGGGTGGAAGGTATCTGAGCTTTACTGACAACAAAAACTAGTGTGAATCTGTCAGAATATACATAAACAAATGTTCTCAGCTAGCTTTGATTCATTAGAATATTAAAAGATGATAGGATCCAAAGTGACTTTTCTCTTTGTACCAGTGGGCTTATATAAATGTCTCACCTGTCCAGATGTGAGCTGATGGTATGAACTCTTGCGATCTGACCGGGATACAGTCCCAAAACATCTCTGCCCTGCTGATGAGCACTGGAGAAACAGTGCTGATCAAACAAACATGATGTGCGCAGTAAAACATACTAACATGCTTAAAATCAATATGTATATTACAGCAATAAACCAGATCAAGCTGGCCAAATTTGGTCTGAAACATAGTCATACAATGTTAATGTTTTAAGTTGACCTAGCTATATATCATAGCACGGTTGCAAGAGAAATTGCATAAATTACATACTTTATTAACTATTCAACATCCACATCCAGAACTGAATGTTTATTTTGAGATGTTAGGAGTCAAAGCCTCAAAAACCTTATGTGTGTCGGATGGTTTTTTGTGTCCTGACTTTCCTTAAACTCGTGTAACCTCAGAGCAACTCCTGATCCAGACATCCTGCTCTGAAACCCTGGCATAATAACATAATTCAAACCTGGTTTTGGTTAAGTCTTACATGCTCATTAATAGCAAATGAATATAAAGTAGCCTATACAGTGAATGCAATGCATTTCAAACAAGCCTAAGCTGGTTTGCTTGTCAATCAACCTGATTTAGAACCAGGTTGATTGACAAGCAAATCAGTTTAGGCCGGCTTGAACTGTTTTTTTTTTTTTAACAGGATAACGATCAAGCGTAGCGTTAGTTCTGGCAGGTCACGTAAGTCAAGCTCGCATCAGCTGACTCTCAGCTGATCCCCATCTACCTATGGGAATACGACACCTATCTAAGCATTCATATATAAGGTCCCTCAGTATTATCAGCCGTTTTCGCATTGCTCAATAGCTAATTACCCTCCCCCATCCCCAGCTCCTCCTCTGTCAGTCAGGATTCAGCCTTCTGATTCTCCTTTGAATCAGACTAATTCTAAAATGTGTACATAACATTGGGGGGGGGGTATCGCTGCTCTCATCCATGCTAGGCTGCATAGATGCGCAGGGAGTTCTTGCCCAGAACAGAACCATAACTGTATGCTAATTGTCAATCATCTTTGACGATAGTGGTCCTGACAGAATTGACGTTAAATGGTGATCAACACTGTTATGCAGCTCCAGAAATAGAATTATGAATAGATCTGCATGAATTGTTGCTAGTCTAATATTCATTCTGTGATTCTCGTCATTCGTTCTGCTGCGACATATTGTGTCTTGTTGTTTTTGTCGAGTCTCGCCTGAGAATGTTATGTACAGGTCACAACCAAATCACACATTCAAATGCAAACAAAACAAATTGAGACCTGTTTTGAAAGACAAACACAAGTCGTCTTACCTGCTTGTTTTCAGTCAGCGTGTTGATGCATTTGCACGGCTGAAAGTCAGGGTCTTGTGGACAGCAGCGCTTCTGTTACAGAAATCTGACTCGGAGGCACTGATACTGACTGCAGGATCATTCTACACTCATCACATCAATCAGTATCGTTTGTATTTTGGGTTTAGTCTAACAGTCCTCGCGAAAATCCCCATTTTAATCTAGAATATCTAGAAGCTGCCTCTGGTCTGAAAACAAACAAATGCAACAGCTAAGAACATATTAAGAGCAACTAAGTTTTATACACTTAATGTTTGCTAAATTAATACTGTAATAGTAAGTTTGCATATACTTTCATATATAATTTGTATTGCTAGTGCAATTGCTAATAACTGTAAATAAAACAATGTGTGTTAGATTTTTAATAACCTTTATCAATATATTGTAAAATCCATTAATTGTAACAGAACTGATTCATCCATGATTGTGAATCTGAAATGAAAGTGTCCTGAAATTCAGAGTTGGAGTCTTATGGATCTTATATTTTGGTAGACCAGATAAACACGGACTAGATCTGGATCTGAATTTCACCACTCACTGCCTTGGTCTAGATCTAAAAACTTGTTTGTTTGTTTTTAAAATTTAATTGGTTTTATTATTATTATTAAGTGTACTAAAGGTGATTATTAACTCAAACATGAATCTGCTCGAGTCTCGCCTGAGAATGTTATGTACAGGTCACAACCAAATCACACATTCAAATGCAAACAAAACAAATTGAGACCTGTTTTGAAAGACAAACACAAGTCGTCTTACCTGCTTGTTTTCAGTCAGCGTGTTGATGCATTTGCACGGCTGAAAGTCAGGGTCTTGTGGACAGCAGCGCTTCTGTTACAGAAATCTGACTCGGAGGCACTGATACTGACTGCAGGATCATTCTACACTCATCACATCAATCAGTATCGTTTGTATTTTGGGTTTAGTCTAACAGTCCTCGCGAAAATCCCCATTTTAATCTAGAAGATCTAGAAGCTGCCTCTGGTCTGAAAACAAACAAATGCAACAGCTAAGAACATATTAAGAGCAACTAAGTTTTATACACTTAATGTTTGCAAAATTAATACTGTAATAGTAAGTTTGCATATACTTTCATATATAATTTGTATTGCTAGTGCAATTGCTAATAACTGTAAATAAAACAATGTGTGTTAGATTTTTAATAACCTTTATCAATATATTGTAAAATCCATTAATTGTAACAAAACTGATTGTGAATCTGAAATGAAAGTGTCCTGAAATTCAGAGTTGGAGTCTTATGGATCTTATATTTTGGTAGACCAGATAAACACGGACTAGATCTGGATCTGAATTTCACCACTCACTGCCTTGGTCTAGATCTAAAAACTTTGTTTTTTAAATTTAATTGGTTTTATTATTATTATTATTAAGTGTACTAAAGGTGATTATTAACTCAAACATGAATCTGTATAGTATCTTTTCATGACCCCACTTTGTTTACCTTTCTTACATTGTTTTTTTTATAATAATTAAAATAATTGTAATAATTGAATTTATATATTTTATATTTATTTATTTGAATGTAAACTTGTAGACTAATAATAATAATAATGTGGAGTAATTTTAATAATAATTTATAATTTAAATGAATTTGTTTTAAATTTGAATGTAAACCTGTAGTAGTAATAATAGTAATAATTAGTAGAGTTTCTGTTTTGGAAAGCAGACTTCAACTTTCTGTTTAATCTGTTATTATGGGGTTTCAGTTTGATGTGTTGAACACTAGAGGGAGACATCCTGCAACTTTATATGTGAAGTCCTCATAAACTATGCACTCCACGTGCAGTCCAATCAAAAGATGCATGGAATTAGTTTATGAAAATTATTCCTCAGGTTTGTGACTGATTATTGGTGGTTATTCAAAGAGTAGTTTGAGTCTTAGTATTATTATTCTTTAGTGTCCTTTGTTTTGTGTATAGTTTAGATGTCTGCATTCATTAAACAAGACAAAGGGCCCCAAATCCTCACTCTGTCCCGGGATAGAGGCGAACTGCAGCTGGTGCATTTATTATTGTCCTCTTCATTTGAGGCATAATAAGTGATTTCTGGTGCTGTATATGAATATGAGGTCTCTTTTCGGTCGGTGGGAGGTACATAAAGCATGTATCATTCATATGTAGCGAGGCAAACAAAAGCCTGGCGAGCGACAAAACCAGGAAAAGGAGGAGGACGGGGGGCCTCCGGTAAAAACGGGTCCCGGTGTGATGTCGAGAGGGTTCCTCCTCCGTCCCACTGGCAGCGGCTGAATGGCTGGTTCTGGAGACGAAATTACGATTCCTACTATTGCGAAGGCTCAGCTCATTGATATTAATGAGGGCAGGCTGACGTTGCTCACCAAACTCCCAATGGCAAGGCTTCGTTTATGAATATTAATTAGCTCCTGCCGATGCTGTTTGGTAACCTTCAATGGCACTTTTTAAATATTAACAAGCCTAGCAGTGATTAAGCTTGTGCTCTTACAAGGATATACTTCAATGGCCATGGGTCAGAAAAAGAAAAAAAACATATATTATGCAATTATCAATATTATTAGGCACTCTCTTGTACATAAACTGAAATATTCTATCTCCAAACATTTTTATTTTAATTAAATTATTTTTCTATTAGATTGTGCAGTGTTTTTTTTTATCTTATATTAATATTTTTTATATTGCAATATTATATTATTTATATTAAAATGTTTCTAATGACATAATTTATAATAATGTAGTAAATGAACAGTTCTCTTGGTATTGGTAATATCATGTATACAATTTTAATAATAAAAAAGCATGTATTCTGGATGTTATTCAGCTCCAGCTGACATTGTTTGGTAATCTTCCAATGCGGAAGGTTTATCTTATGAATATTAATGAGCTGCCACTGAGTGAGCCAATGCCGACGCTCGCCTCATGAAAATTAAGAAGCAGACCTTCGCCGTAGTAGGATTCGGGCAAATTCAAGCGCTGGAGACGGGGTGCGCCGTCACCGCGCGTTCTGCATCGGGTTACGCCATTCATCCAGGATCATTCGGTTCACCGGCGTAACGAAAATGATGGCCACATCACGGGCGCGCGTGCCTCCGTCTTCCTCATGACCGACCGGCGGCGGCGGCAGCAGCAGCATCTGCGTGCGGGTTTGGGTTTGTCTCTTACCGGGCTGGCGTGGAACCGATCCCACCGTCTGGCGGAGCGTCTGCCAGGTACTGCGTGCTTCGTGTTGTTTATTTTTCCTCCATCAGCGAGCAGCATCACGGGCAAGGCCGAGCATCCGCGCTGGAGCATCACCGGCCGCCGGGCTGGGATGCTCCTCCTCGGCCTTGCCCGTGATGCTGCTGCTGCTGCTGCTGCTGGACGCATGAAGCGCTTCTTTTCATATCCAGAGCTATTTTTATATAAAGCACTGTAATATTCCATTATAAACACATTTAAACATCATCCTGCGTGGTATTATTGATGCGCATCCACCATTTTACGCATTTCGGGCAAATAGAAAACAAGCGCTCGCACACTTCACACACTTCACATCCTCCAGCCTACATGCATGTGTGTTTGTGTTGTTATCACACAGCCGTGTCATGCACAAACATCCATTTATGCTCATATGCTCGTTTGTGGCGAGCTGTCAGTGCGCTGTAAGTATTTATTATGATGGCGATGGATTATATAACAGCAGCACAATATGACACAAAGCCGCTGCTTCATTGTGCTTATTGTGATTTGTCATGTTAATTGCTGTCACATCCTTGTGTGTGTGTGTGTGATGCCCAACCGTGTCCACCATTGTTTTTGTTGACATTGGTTTGGGTGGCTTCTGTTGTTTAGGCATCTCGTTTTTCCTGACAACAGGAATTATGCATCAGTTTTATTAGATATGTTCTCGTATAAAGAATATGTTTTCATTTTCTGAATTTAAAGTCATTTTTATGTTTTTCTTGACTTTGTCAAAAATGTCTGTGGTGAAAATGGGGGGGGAAGCCTATAAAAAGGCAGATTTTATTATAATTTCGTTAAAAAAAAGCCGAATATTTAGTTTAAAATATTATTAATATTTAATCAAAACAAAACCTGTGTGGTGTAATCAGTGTGCAGGAAGCCAGTTGATGTCATGTGACAACAAAAATAAAAAGTACACAGCTGCTTTAGGCCTTCATGACTGTCATTAAAAATATCACATATTTTGTCCTTTTTATGAAATGTCATGTTTGCTTTAGCAGAAACAATAAGAAAGCATCTTGATATTTTTACTCAAAAATAGTTTTGTTTGCAAACAACATTTATTGCCTTGAATCTTTTCAAAAACAGTGATCAAGTTATATATTCTCACAGATATTCTGGGTGCAAGGAAAGTATACAGATGTGACGTGTGATGATGCTGTGTCTGTTGTTTTTTTCCATGCTGTGTGATGTCATGTATTTTATGTTAATTTAAGTCATGTATGAATGTTAATTTAAGAAAGGGAAGAAGTTGTGGATTATGGAGGACTCCTGCATATACAGCAGCAGCCAGATGCAGAGATGTTTAAATATAAAGAGTGTGAGGTGCCTGTGTTCCCATATGCACCAGCAGATTTATTATAGATGTGAGGATTGGTTCTAATGTTCTAACTTCCTGTTCTGAGGTTGATTCCAAGGTTCATGTTGATTCCTGAAAAGTCAATTCTAAAAATTCCAAGGTTGATTTTAAGGTTCTATGTTTGATTCTAAGATGACGGTGAATAGAAAGTGATAAATTCAAGATTTCAAGTCTGATTTTATTGCGTGGTTTCTTTGGAAGTTCCGAGGTTGTGAAGTGAGATGGTTGATTCTAAGGATGCAGGATTCTAAGACTGATATAGCTTGATTCTAAGATGATTCTTGACTGAAAGTGAGTTCTACATATTGTGAAATTCTGATTGTATTAGAATATCCTATGATTTCGATATTTCATTCTAAGGTTCAGCAGTTGATTCTAAGATTCATTCTTGGGTTGATGTCCTGTTGTTCATTATAGGGTTCTAAGATTGCTTGTAAACTTATCATTTTGATTTTAAGGTTCTTCAGTTGATCCTCAGATCAGGTTATAAGATTCTTCTGAGGTCCCTATGTTGATTTTGATTGTAGAAATCCAAGGTTGGCTCTGAGGCTGATTCTGAGCTTGATTCTGGGGTTCTAAGTGTGATTTAAGGTTGATTTTAAAGGTTCTATGTTCAATTCGAAAATGATGCTAAAGAAAACTGACAACGTTTTATTTTAAGATGATTGTCAGGTTGATTTCCAATGTGTAAAATAGCATGGTTCGTTCAAAAGAAGTACGATTCTAAAGTTGAATCTAAGATCATTTTAATAGGAATTCTATTTGAATGTGATTTCTGTTCATTGTAAAATTCAAATTTTGAATTGGATCCTAGTACTGTATGGATTTCATTTGTATTAATCTGTTGTTTCGGAGATGTTTTTAAAATGTATTCTGAGGTTGTGATGTTAATTCATTATGGGATTCTACAGCGTGTGTTCTCAGGAAAATTCTACATTGCTAGACTGATTCTGAGGTTCTGGTGTTGATTGTAACGTCATTGGGTTCATTATTGGGTTCTTTGATTTGGTTGTAAGATTGCAAGGTTGATTCTGAGATTCTGCATTTGATTATGTGGTTCTCCGATGAATTCTAAGGTTCTAAAGCCTCATAATGCCGAAGAAGCAGACAGAAACGGCTGTGTTTAGAATCATGCATAGCTTGAGCATCCAGTGTGAGAGAGGAAGAGAAGGCCACGGGAAGGGGCGGGAAATGTTTCCCTGCTCCTAACAATGACTTTATTTCTCATGGAAGTGTGTGTGTGGGAGAGGGGGAGAAGCGGAAGAGAATGACCCATGTGTGTGTGTGTGTGTGTGTGTTTTCTCTGCTTTGTTGTTTCCTTCCAGGCTGAGTCACCACTGGAGTCTGAAGGGTCGCAAGAGAGAGAGAGAGTGAGAGAGTGAAGGAGGAGGCTGAGGCGTTACATCACAACGTGGCAGAGAAAGTGAGAGGAAGAGTGTGAGAGAACTGGAGAGCAGAGCGAGACGGCCGTAAGGGAGAGCGAGGGAACAGGACAGATCCGCCAGCAGGAAGTCGAGCACTGGACTGACCCTTGAACTCTGACCTCAGAGCCAACATGAACGACCAGAACGTAGTGAAAGAGGGATGGGTGCAGAAAAGAGGTGAGAAACAACAGCATTGAAATATTGATGTTGATGTGTTATGCTGCTGTGACTGGGAATATCGCATGTTCTCTCATGCATGTTTCAGTGTTTTTCTGTGTGCCTGATCGTCTGGGGTTTTTGTTGGTTTTGCAGGTGAATACATTAAGAACTGGAGACCGCGGTACTTCCTGTTAAAGACGGATGGGTCGTTTATTGGATATAAGGAGAAGCCACAAGATGCCGATCTGGCATATCCGCTCAACAACTTCTCTGTGGCCAGTGAGTCTCTCTCATTATCAAACGCGTTTAAATGAAATCTAAACGGTGGAGTTTTATGGTTTTCAAACGTTTAGGTGCCACGGACCCCAAAACATGAGGATCTGTTTGAAGGCTCTTTCTGAAAATATAAAATATATATACACTTTATATACAGAGATATTATAGTTAACTATAACCATAAAAAAAAACATTTTTGTTACCTGAAATAAAATTCATGTTAATTGAAAAATTCATGTTAATTTCTTATATTTGCCATGGAAACATTCTCATTTTCATTTAATTGAGCTGAAATAAAAATGAATTAAAAAAAAATATATACATTTATATAAAAAAAAATTGATTAATTTTTTTTTAATTACTCAAAATAACTAAAACAAAAAACCTAAAACTAGTCAAATTAATAAAAACAAAAAATCAACCAATAATAAAAAACTACTTAATATTAATAAAAACTATAATAGTATCTCAATTATGCTAATATAACACTGCTTTATAATGACCCATTAATAATTTGATGATAAAAATATTATCAAGATGTATCAAATATTATGTGGAAAATATATACATTTATTAAAGTGTGATTTAATCTCATGACTTCCAACCAGTGTTAAGAGATAAGAATAAGATTGACTGATGTTTATTTGCCCTGCACTTTTTTAAATGTATGATATCAGTGTGTCGTGTTCTTGGTAAAGCCTTCAGATCCATTTGCTGTTCTCCAGATCCATGACTCACTTCATTCGAAGCAAACTGATTTAATTAGAGCGTCACGTGCTGATGTCATCAACGTGAGTCTGACTCTGTAATCTGAGATGATGACGACATCATTATTCCACATAAACATGCATCTTTCTTCTTCTTCTCATTCGTCAGAGTGCCAGCTGATGAAGACGGAGAGACCGAAGCCCAACACCTTCATCATCCGGTGTCTGCAGTGGACCACTGTGATCGAGCGCACGTTTCACGTGGACACGCCTGACGAGAGGTCCGACACGTCCAGATCGCGTTTCAAATCACGTTTAACACGCACTAGTGTTTAAATTAGTAATTTTTTGCAAAGAACTGTGATCACAGTTAATCTCAGTATGGTCACATATCAGCCGATTAATCGGCCTGGCCAATATATCACAACTGATCACACTCTTGTTTCCCTGGTAACCAGGGATGAGTGGGTCGAGGCCATTCAGATGGTGGCAGACAAGCTGGCCAAACAAGAAGAGGAAGGAATCCTGTGTAGCCCCATCTCTCAGATCGAAAACGTCAACGAGGAAGAGATGGACACGTCAACCAGTCATCACAAACGAAAGGTAGAGCCCGAGCCAGAGAGGCGGCTCGACGTGGTTTAACGCGCAGCTGCTCATTCTAACGTCTCTCTCTTGTTTGACAGACAATGAATGACTTTGACTATCTGAAGCTGCTGGGTAAAGGCACATTTGGGAAGGTGATTCTGGTGCGAGAGAAAGCCAGCGGCACATATTATGCAATGAAGATCCTGAAAAAGGAGGTTATTATTGCCAAGGTAAGAGAGGTGATTCTCTGAGAACGGACTGAACTGACAGCTGAAATGAACTTCTCTCTGTCTGTCTCTTTCAGGATGAAGTTGCTCACACGCTCACCGAGAGCAGAGTTCTGAAGAACACTAGGCATCCCTTTCTAACTGTGAGTGACGACATACCGGGATGCTTTTATCCACTCCGCAAACATTTAAAAAGAAACGTAATTCTTGTGATTTTCCCCCTAGAATTAAAAACGAAAAGATTAGTTTTGAATTGTTTGTTCTTTTTTTCTGCAGTCACTGAAGTACTCATTTCAGACGAAGGATCGTTTATGTTTTGTTATGGAGTACGTGAATGGAGGAGAGGTAAAATTGGTTTCCTTTTCAATTTTTAGAACTTTCGTTTGAAGCCGTTTTGACCTTGAACATTTGAACTTTCTTTCAAACGTTGTACAACTTACAAAATTTCTTTCTAGCTTTCACACTTTAAAATTTTTCACATTTTTGGTGTCTCTTTCAAACTATTATTTCCAAATATTGGAAATACATCTTTTCAAACTTAAGCCGCGTTTCCACCGAAATTACCCGGAACAATTGTACCAGGAACTTTTTTCCCCCCAGACCGGTTGCTGTCTGCATTACCATCGCGGTCTAAAGTACCGAGAAGATTAGGCAAATTGTCTGGTGACGTAGGTCTGCGCACGTTTCAATATCAAGTATGCAAATTTCGGACTTGCATCCTCGGTAGTTCGTCACAACTGATCACACTCTTGTTTCCCTGGTAACCAGGGATGAGTGGGTCGAGGCCATTCAGATGGTGGCAGACAAGCTGGCCAAACAGGAAGAGGAAGGAATCCTGTGTAGCCCCATCTCTCAGATCGAAAACGTCAACGAGGAAGAGATGGACACGTCAACCAGTCATCACAAACGAAAGGTAGAGCCCGAGCCAGAGAACTGGATCGACGTGGTTTAACGTGCAGCTGCTCATTCTGACGTCTCTCTCTTCTTTGACAGACAATGAATGACTTTGACTATCTGAAGCTGCTGGGTAAAGGCACATTTGGGAAGGTGATTCTGGTGCGAGAGAAAGCCAGCGGCACATATTATGCAATGAAGATCCTGAAAAAGGAGGTTATTATTGCCAAGGTAAGAGAGGTGATTCTCTGAGAACGGACTGAACTGACAGCTGAAATGAACTTCTCTCTGTCTGTCTCTTTCAGGATGAAGTTGCTCACACGCTCACCGAGAGCAGAGTTCTGAAGAACACTAGGCATCCCTTTCTAACTGTGAGTGACGACATACCGGGATGCTTTTATCCACTCCGCAAACATTTAAAAAGAAACGTAATTCTTGTGATTTTCCCCCTAGAATTAAAAACGAAAAGATTAGTTTTGAATTGTTTGTTCTTTTTTTCTGCAGTCACTGAAGTACTCATTTCAGACGAAGGATCGTTTATGTTTTGTTATGGAGTACGTGAATGGAGGAGAGGTAAAATTGGTTTCCTTTTCAATTTTTAGAACTTTCGTTTGAAGCCGTTTTGACCTTGAACATTTGAACTTTCTTTCAAACGTTGTACAACTTACAAAATTTCTTTCTAGCTTTCACACTTTAAAATTTTTCACATTTTTGGTGTCTCTTTCAAACTATTATTTCCAAATATTGGAAATACATCTTTTCAAACTTAAGCCGCGTTTCCACCGAAATTACCCGGAACAATTGTACCAGGAACTTTTTTCCCCCCAGACCGGTTGCTGTCTGCATTACCATCGCGGTCTAAAGTACCGAGAAGATTAGGCAAATTGTCTGGTGACGTAGGTCTGCGCACGTTTCAATATCAAGTATGCAAATTTCGGACTTGCATCCTCGGTAGTTCGGACTTCGCGAGTTCGACTCAGGAGTGTGAACTCCCGCGGACGGGACGACGCAAGTCTGGTAATTCTGCAAACAGCAGCGTACTTGATAACGTCAGTCAGCTCACCTTGGCTACTGCAGTTGTCCTCACTGTATTTACAATAAGACAAAATATATCAAACACCACTGCCCCTTTTCGTTTTCATTTAAACATATTAATAGCCGCAGAAATGTTCAGGGAACGTACATGGCCTACATTACAATGAAACGAAATGTTATATCAAACATTGCTTAAAATTGTTTTCATTTTAATTTGAACATATTAATAGATTAACAGAATAAAGACCAAAGTTTACCTGTTAAGATTTACCCAAAACAAATAATATCTTATGTTTATCCACTACAGAGACATCAGAGCCAGCGGCAAATGTCAGAAGGACTAGCCGAGTTGAGGCTGCTCTCATCGGGATACATGAGCACTGAGCGCCGGCTGATCGCGTGGAGCTCCCGTCTCCGAAATCGGCGAAGCACATTTTCAAATAGGCGCTGTTTTTATAAATAAACTGCAGATTTGAGTTTTAAACAACTACATTCTCGCCTGAAATACTTTTAAAACTACATTTCATGACACAATAACAGTAATATTTTTTTAAAATATGCAAATGGTGTTTGAAATACAATGCTGCGTGAACTCAACCAATCAGCATGTTCAGCGCTCAAGTCCCACCCCCGAAAGTTCCGGACCTTTGAGAAAGTACTACCTCGCGCGCAGGGACTTTCTGAGGAGCAATTTTTTACCCCGGAACTTTATTTAGATCCTGATTCCTGCGGTGGAAACACACCGAGTACCGGCCCAAAGTCCCTAGTTCCTGGGGAAAGTTCCTGCAGTGGAAACGCGGCTTTACAAACTCTTCAAATTAAGAATTTTATTTCTTCAGAACATTTTCAAACTCGTGAAATTTCGCTCCAGTATTCTAACTTTCTTTTAAAATTACTTATACAAAATTTTCTTTTGAACTTTCTAACATTTTTTTGAAACATTTCCAAACTTTCAAAATTTCTTTCCAGCTTTCAGAATTCTTTCAAACTGTCTTTTCAAATTTTGAATTTATTTCCGGACATGTTCAAACTTACAAATTGTAACAACTTTTGATCTTAAACACATTTTGAAGCATGTGAAATGTCCTTTTGACCTTCTAACCTTTTGAACTTTCTTTTGAAATTTCTCTCTAAACTTTGAACTTTTTCAAATTTCAAATTCCTTTCCAGCTTTCAAACTTTACTTATTTTTTTCCCAAACTGTTCATCTTTCTCTCCATATTTCAAACCTCATTTAAAACATTTTCAAGCTTTTTCTTTCCAACTTTTGATTTTCCTTTCAAACATTTCCAAACTTTTGAAATTTCCTTGCTTTATTCCGATGTCTCTTTCTCAGTGTGTGTGGGTGTGCTGCACGTTTGGATTTGCGAGTTCTGAATATTCCTCTTTTTAATTGTCATTGCAGCTGTTTTTTCATTTGTCGAGAGAGCGCGTATTTTCAGAGGATAGAACCCGTTTCTACGGCGCTGAAATCGTTTCTGCGTTGGATTACTTGCACTCTGCGAAGATTGTTTACCGTGACCTGAAGGTGAACAGAACACACAGACCAATATCAACGTTTTCACCCTAAAAACCTCAATTTTGGCATTATCAGCGGACCGTAAAATGTGTGTGTGATTTGTCCAGCTGGAAAACCTGATGTTGGATAAGGACGGTCACATAAAGATCACTGATTTCGGCCTGTGTAAGGAGGGCATCACAGACACGGCCACCATGAAAACGTTCTGCGGGACCCCGGAGTATCTGGCCCCTGAGGTACGGGACACAAATGCGTCAGGGATGTTTTATCTTTTTAAACACAGCACAGGAAGCACACACACTGGGTTAAATTTAATATAGTTGACAGTTTAATCTCCGTCTGTCACAGTCGGAACAGGTTAGCAGGAACAGGGTCACACTTTAGCTGTGCTTTTCTAGCATCCGTACAGAAATAGACAAACAGCAGGCTGTAGACAAGACTGAGCAGCTCACGGGTAAAAATAGAGTGATCAGACAGTGACCCGCTGCCCATTTTCATTGCTGTTTAACTCCATTTTAATAATCAAATAAGAGTACAGCATGTATAATAAACCATGGTGTTGCATATGGATGCTGTAATGCTGATGACTCATGCTGATGGCATGATCATAACTGTATGATGTAATCATATATCAGGCTGTTTTTCCATCATCGGAGTCATTTATCTAGGTTGGTGGCTCTCAGAATGGGACATGATTGATTATTGCTATTGAAGGGAAATCTGCAAACGACTGCCAATAGTTGTTAGGGCTGGGTTTTGACACAAATTTCACGATTCGATTCGATTCTCATTCACAAGCTTGCGATTCGATTACCAATTCGATTCGATTCAATATCGATTATTTTGGATAGGCTATAGTACAGGTACAGTAGGCTACATGCCCAATTTTCTCAAGGAAAAAAAAATCTCTCAACTAATGCTGTAAAATATGCATGAGAGTCAGTTGGTACTAGCTACATTACTATAATATTGAAGGTTAAAACTGATTTGTAGGCTACACAACTGCTAAAATGACACTTAATTAAGTTTTTTAAATAATAAAGTTACAATTACATAATAATATTTCTACTTCAATTGTTTTTTTATCATACTATAAACTTTTAAATGGTGGCTGTCATAAAACTTGATGGATTTATTCGAACATAAATTAAACACTGAAGAACAGTAAAAATTATAATGCAAATGTTATATGGTGCATATATTTAGCAACATGCCCTTCTCTACAGTTAATTTTTCTAGCTGACTAATGATTTTATGGTCACGAAATATGTTTTTCTGTGGTAAATGTGACGTTACGTGAAATTGTTTACAAGCCGTTATATTGACGTCTGAAACACTAATTGAGCGATTACATGAGACAGGATATGGATTGTAAAGTTGTACTCTTCTTTTAACTTACCTTCGGATGTTTAGTCATGTTTATTTTGTGTTGAAGCTGGTATTAATGTGGAGGAGATGATTAGCTAATGCGCGCCTCGCGCTACAGCGATCTGTCACTCCACATTAAACAGCGCCAAAACGGCATTTATTGTTTGAATACTGCAATACAATGGACAGAATTTGAAATCTGAGACTTTGTTTCATATTAAAAGTACCAACGCACAATGCTTATTGCGATTTATTGGATGGGAAGTGCCCTTCAATGTTCCGTACATTAACTGAAAACAGGCTAGACTAATCGATTCTCGGGATTTAAGAATCGATATCGTTCCGTAAAAATGAGAATCGATTAAAATCCAGATATCTATATTTTTTACCCAGCCCTAATAGTTATTAATCCAGTATTCGTATTAATGACATTATTGATCAGGTTTTGAGAGATAATATAATTGTTTCTGGATCAGCCATTGGAGAGTAATATAACTTGATTGTTGTTCAGGTATCTGAGGATAATGATCAGATGTCAGAGGATAATATGACTGATCATGGATCAGATATTAAGATAACGTATGTCCATAACTGATTTTTGAGCAGGTATTGGAGGATATTGTGATTGTTGATGAAGAATTGGAAGATATGAATGTGATTTGTGATCAGTTAATGGAGGATAATATAATTATTAATGAAAAACTGGGAGATGTTCATGTGATATTTGATTGGTTATTAGAGACGAATATAATTATTAATGAAGAACTGGAAGACATTTGTGTGATATTTGATTGATTATTGGAGGTTAATATAGTTATTAATGAAGATTAGAAGATATTTATGTCATTTTGATCAGTTATTGGAGGCTAATATAATTATTGTTAAAGAATTGGAAGATATTCGTGTGATATTTGATGGGTTATTGGTGGCAAATAGAATTATTAATGAAGAACTGTAAGATATTATTGTGACTTATTTAAAGGAGACATATCATGCCACTTTTTACAATTTGTAATATAAGTCTCTGGTGTTCCCAGAATGTGTCTGTGAAGTTTCAGCTCAAAATACTCCACAGATCATTTATTATATCATTTTGAAAATGCCTATTTTGAGTGGAAGCAGAAACACGCTGTTTTTCGGGCCTGTCTCTTTAAATGCAAATGAGCTGCTGCTCCCCGCCCCCTTTTCCAGAATAGAGCTGTGCCATTACAGCTCAGACCTGCTAAAAAACATCTGTTTTGGTTCTGATTATCATGTTTATCACACTGAAATCATGCGTTTTAAACCATATGAGTTTAAACTTCTGGTATACGGTTTTCTGAGTGCACACATCCGAAGCACACGGAGAGAAAGCGGCTCTCACAGCATGTGAGTACTAAACTAAGCTCTCATTCACACACAAGTTTACGTTAAAAACACACATGGTTATGTGTGTGAAGGTAAACCGCTGGGAAATAAATCACATGTTTATTTTAGATCTTTGTGGCAACAGCAATATACAGTAAATAAATCAATAAATTTGTTGTCTCCTCTTGAGGCTGGGACTCTAAACGGTGCTCTGTGCTCGTCTCTGCAGCCAAAGACAGAACCGTTAGCATGTTTTGCTCAAACTTTTGCCATGGCATTAGAGCTAGTACACCGTTGTCGCTTGCAAAAACACAATAACAGGGCCCTGGGTGTAAACGTACAGATTAAGGGGCGGTAATATTATAATGAGATCCCTTTGCCACGTCACCAAGGGAGCGAAATCAGACGCGCTCGTTTTCTCAGACGCTTGCAGAAAAAGGCTTCCCAAAACAAAGTTACTGGGTTAATCTTTTTCACGTTTCCTTGATTGGTAGATGCACCGGGGACCTGATTATAGCACTTAAAACCTGGAAAAGTCAGATTTTCATGATATGTCACCTTTAAGGTATTAGATAATAATGTGATGTGATTGTTAATCAAGTATGTTATAGAGTATGGATCAATTGTTGGAGGATAAATTATTCTGATTAGTTATAAAATTAATTTATTGTTGCATCGCTTGACAAAGGCGTGCAGGCGAGCAATTTTATTCATTTTTGATCAGGCATTTGAGAATGATATGACAGGATATGCCTAATGGTTAGAGTCGGACTCGTAACCCAAAGGTTGCGGGTTCGAGTCTCGTGCCAGCAGTGATTGTAGGTGGGGGGAGTGAATGTACGGCGCTCTCTCTCACCTTCAATACCACGACTGAGGTGCCCTTGAGCAAGGCACCGAACCCCCAACTGCTCCCCGGGCGCCGCAGCATAAATGGCTGCCCACTGCTCCGGGTGTGTGTTCACGGTGTGTGTGTGTGTGTTCACGGTGTGTGTGTGCACTTTGGATGGGATAAATGCAGAGCACTAATTCCGAGTATGGGTCACCATACTTGACCACATGTCACGTCACTTTTGTTTTTGTATGATTGATCTGAGTGTACCGTGGTTTTATCGATCAGGTTTTGGAGGACAATGATTACGGGAGAGCGGTGGACTGGTGGGGTCTGGGAGTCGTTATGTATGAGATGATGTGTGGACGCCTGCCCTTTTATAATCAGGTATGACTCACTCTAACTCTAACAACACACAATAATAAACAACATTTCATCTCTAAGATTTTTAAATGTTTTTAAAAGCCTCTTTTGCTCACCAAAGCTGTATTTGTTCGATCAAAAATACATTAAAAACAGTGATATTATGAAATATTTTTACAATTTAAAAGAACTGTTTTCTATGTGAATATACAGTATGTTAAAATGTAATTTATTCCTGTGCTCAAAGCTGAATTTTCAGTATCATTACTCCAGTCTTCAGTGTCACATGATCTTCAGAAATCACTCTAATATACTGGTTTCCTGCTCAAAAAACATTTCTCAGTGTTGAAAACAGTTGTGCTGCTTCATATTTTTGTGGAAACCATGATGCATTTTTTTTAGGATTCACTAATTCAAGTTCAAAAGAAGAACATTTATTTGAAATAGAAATTTCTTTACTGTCTTCAGGACCATGAGAAGCTGTTTGAACTGATTCTGATGGAAGAGATCAAGTTTCCCAGAACCCTCTCTGCAGACGCCAAGTCTTTACTGTCTGGATTACTCATCAAAGACCCCAATAAGAGGTTGGTGTGTGAATGTGTGATCCAAAGCTCATTTTAGCAGGAGAACACCAGATTAAAACTATTTGTGTATCATGTGAGACCTGAATGAATATGAATCTGCGGTTTATTCTCTGAAGGCTCGGAGGAGGTCCGGATGATGCTAAGGAAATCATGAGACACAGTTTCTTCACTACAGTGGACTGGCAGGACGTCTATGACAAAAAGGTATGAGTGCACTTGCAATGGAAATCTATGGGCTGAGACATTTGAAAGGGTTCAAAAGCAGAAACATAACAACATTGTTCAGAAGTTTGGGGTCAGTAAGACCTGGCCTATACAAGGCCAACAGAAAAACATGCTGGTAAGAGTGCTTTCCAGTAAGAAGCACTTCAGACATAGTTGAAAATGCATTTGTCAGGACTCATGGGATCTTATCAAAAACAATCCAAATTGCAAACTAAATCCAACCCTGGATATTTGATATAATTTCGAAATGAGTGTGCGAACCCGCAACCTCATACCCAAACGTATCATGCGTTTCACTAACTGGCAGTACGCCTTCACTGGCGTCATTTATATTATCACAATATATTTTCCATAGTGTCTTCATTTACTGCTCAACCAGGGTTGATTGCCCAGCAGCCGCATCACATTATTGGTTTGAATCACTGAAAACTCAGCTTTGCATCACAGGAATAAATTACATTTTACAACAGATTCTCATAGAAAACAGTTATTTTGAATTGAAAAAATATTTCACAATATTACTGTTTTTACTGTATTTTTGAGCACATAAATGCAGCCTTGGTGAGCATAAGAGGCTTCTTTCAAAAACATTAGAAATCATACCAACCCCATAGTGTATTTTTGTTAAAGCGAGTTTTTGTTCATTCATTCGAACATGATTATGTATAATAAGCTGCTTGCTTTCTGGTCCTCTCGTCACATCTCTTGTCCAGCTGGTACCGCCGTTCATGCCGCAGGTCTCGTCTGAAACCGACACCAGGTATTTCGACGAGGAGTTCACGGCGCAGACTATCACCATCACCCCTCCGGAGAAGTGTGAGTGCGCCGTTTCCCTCCCTCTCTCTCTCTTTTCCTGTAGACTGGCTCCTCGTGCCACAGGAAGTGGAAGTACACAATGAAAAAAATGCATGAAGCGTATCATTGTGAAAATCTGTGCAGTGCTAGGAAATTCCATTTTCATTAGAGCACCGTGTGCGTAACCTAACGTGTCCCTCTCTCTTCCTCCCCCGCAGACGACGAGGACGGGATGGACTCGGCTGATAGCGAACGGAGACCACATTTCCCACAATTCTCGTATTCGGCCAGCGGGCGGGAGTGACCGTCATCAAATAACGCCATTTAAGGAGCCATCCTAGAAAGAGCCCCCTCTCTCTCTCTCTCTCTCTCTCTCTCTCTCTCTCTCTCTCTCTCTTCCCTTTGTTTAATTACAGATAGTCATAGCGAGTCATTTTTATTTCTTTCTGTTCGTTTTTTTTTGTGAGAGAGCCCCCTCTCTCTCTCTCTCTCTCTCTCTCTCTCTCTCTCTCTCTCTCTCCTCCGTTTAATTACCGATAGTCATAGCGAGTCATTTTTATTGCTTTCTGTTCGTTTTTTTTTGTGAGACTTAAAAGGGGTTTTGCACAGTTGGGTGAGACTTGAGCTGGTCGACCCACGTTAAAAGTCTTGTACACTTTCAGCTTGTTGTTTACAGATCATGGACAGTGTTTTTTGGGGAATATGATCAGTATTGTTGAAGACCTGGAGGGTTTTATTTTTTATTTTTTTGCACTCGTTTAAAAGAGCCGTTGTGGGGAACAAACCAAAAATGTTGCCTTATGTGTGTGGAACTCATCAGACAGACATGTAGTTAGACGCAGCAGTAGATCTGTTCCTGTGAGGCTCACAAATATAATTTTGTTCTTGCATTTTTTAACACACACACAAACACATCCTCCGTCTGAGGTGTTGAAGAGTTCCGTTCCTTGTTCGTGTTTTTGGTAAATGATGAAAACGAAGAAAGTGGGAAAAATGGACTCGAGTGTTAATATTTGCATTTCTCTTTTAGTTTTATCCTCACGCGTTGATATGAAGGTTTCAGTTTAAATACACAACCATACAACAAACTGTCGTTACTGTAAAAGTCTCTCAGGCAATTCAGAGCACAAGTGTGAATCTCACGAAACCTCCCAAGAACATGCCTAGAGTCGTATTTCACTGCAAAACCATAAATAAAAAAATATTTTGCATGAGGAAAATTTTGCATATTTTTAGGATCATTGAGATGTTTTGCATTGCTACTCTGATGCAAGAAAAGTCTCTTTCTCGTTACTGTAATTACAGAAAAATTTTATGTCTTTATTAGTAGTAGTAGTAGTAGTATTGTTATAAACCGTGTATAATAATAATATATCAAATGTTATTTAAATAATATTTAAATATATATAACATTTCAATTAGTTTACATTAATTTACTATATTCGTTAATGTGAACTAACAAAGAAAAACCATTCAACAGCATTTATTAATCTTAGTTGATCTTAATTTTAGCTAGGGCTGCACAATTAATCGAATTTCTAATCGCGATTACAATTATGGATGCCACAATTACGTAATCGTTCAAAGCGGCACTTATGTTATTCTGCGTGCTTAAGATATGTTTTTTCTTTTTACATGTTATCTTAAGGGTTTTCCCACTGTTTTAGTTTTAGTATAACATTATAATACCATTAATATTTTTACTTTTTTATAATTTAAAGAAACCAATCCAATGTATATTTGACATTTGAGGCTTAATACTATAGAAAAGCACTAAAGGTTTTTCAGTAAGTGTTTTCAGCTTGTTTATTTTCATATAAAAATTCGGCATGCAGTTGCATCAAACAATGGTATGAACATCATTCAATGTAAATTGTGATAATCGTAATTAATAATCGCAATTACAATTTCAAGGGAATAATCGACAATTATGATTTTGGTCATAATCGTGCATCCCTAATTTTAGCATTTACTAATACATTGTTAAAATTAAAAGTTGTATTTGTTAACATTAGTTAATGCACTGTAACTAACATGAACAAACAATGAACAACTATTTTCATTAAAACTGATAAAGATGATAAAATGTTGTAAAAATATATTGCTCACTGTCAGTTCATGTTAGTTAATACATTAACTAATGTTAATCTTATTGTAAAATGTATTTTTATCCTGGCGGTATATGTTGTACTGACTTGGATGATTCAAATAAATATTTAGTAATTTTATTATTATTATTATTTTATTAAGTTGTCTATAATGGAAATCAGCAGAAAGTAATGGGGGGAAAAAATGCTGCTCAAGTGCTGCTAAGTAAAACATTCAGATTAATTACAATAATTAGAAAATGTTCCCCCTATTATGGAAAATTAAATTTAAAGACATCGTTGTCTTAAAGGAACACTCCACTATTTTTGAAAATAGGCTCATTTTCCAACTCCCCTAGAGTTAAACAGTTGAGTTTTACCGTTTTCGAATCCATTCAGCCGATCTCCGGGTCTGGCGGTAGCACTTTTAGCTGTAGCTTAGCATAGATCATTGAATCTGATTAGACCGTTAGCATCTCGCTCAAAGATGACCAAAGAATTTCTATATTTTTCCTATTTAAAACTTGACTCTTCTGTAGTTACATCGTCTACTAAGACCGACGGAAAATTAAAAGTTGTGATTTTCTAGGCTGATATGGCTAGGAACTATACTCTCATTCCATGGTACGGGGATTCGAAAACGGTAAAACTCAACTATTTAATTCTAGGGGAGTTGGAAAATGAGCCTATTTTCCAAAATAGTGCAGTGTTCCTTTAAGAATAATGTCACTGTGCAAAAATCTAAATGGTCCTATTTTCTAACTATAATTTCTTATTTTTGTCTTGTTGATTTTTTTGGTTTGAAATATGACCTGCATGTGTTTTCGTGAGATTCACCCACAAATCTACCCACCGACGTGGTGAAACCTGCCCAAATATCACTCTTATCGCTTTGTCCTGAACTCCTCACCTCTGGCACGCTCTCCAAACCCGAGCGAGAAGCGTTCAGGACAGACGCGTGAAGGCTCGTGATGGGCGGCGTTTCACCTTTACTGTACAGAGCTACAGGTGTGTCTCTCTCAGCAGCACAGAGAGAGACGATCAACCACTGACCCTCACTTCTCACCACACAGAGAGAAAACCTAATGTTGGACTATTCCTGAAGATGTAAATACAAACCTCTCGCTCACTTATTGTCACCGGTATTGTTACATTACCATTATTATTTTTTTTGCATAAAGAAGTGATGATCCTGTCTCCATAGCTGTGGAAATCTTATGGACGTGTGATGTCGTCTGCGTTTGGAATCAATACCAAGTCAGATCACAGATTCATTATATGTGCAACTGAGCCATGCAATAGCAGTGTGAATGACCCTTGACCCGTCCTGTCCCGGCCCTCCTGTGTGTGATGTACATATGCAATGCCTTCTGTTTGTTACGTGTCACGGCCCGACACAAGTTACCGTGAACGTGAAAAAATTGCGAATTGAAAAATGACAGAATCATTGGAGGAACGTGTATCATGTGGGTGTTTCCATAGATATGACTTGCTATGGTTTCAATCCCGTCCTGTTTGTACCTGATCCAGTGAACGTTTTGGAAGCTGCCAGTATTCGTTGTGGTTCTTCATAGTGAATGATATGAGTGTGTGTGTGTGTGATTGTTCATTAAACTTTCAGTTGTTTTTTTCACGCTGTGACGCATTCGGTCGGCTAATCCTCAACAGGTTTTCTAATATTTCAATTTTTTTTTGGTTTGTTTCAGCGTATTTTTGTACTATAGATGTAATTTAGTTGTATTTATTTTCGTATGTTGGGATGAAGGACTCTGTCGGCCGCATTTATTAAGTGCTCTCTCTCTCTCTCCCTCATTATTTTTTATACCTTTCCTTTAGTCTTTGCCTGTTTTGTTTTCATACCAAAACATAAGGGCAAGTGCCCTGTAGAGGACTTGCATTGCCATTTGGTAGTATTTATTTTAAGTTATATTAAAATGTTCAAATTTCCCACTGGCTCCGTGTGCTATTTATTTTTCTAGATTTAAGCTGTAATATTTTAATATTATTTTTATAATTTACATCTCTATACTATATATCAATCTAAGTATATTTATATTTATTATAGCTATATATATATATATATATATATATATATACACTGTATATGTATATATGTGTTTTATATATATATATATATGTCTTAACTTAGTTATGTCCAATATAATTTTATTAAAAGCGAATAGTTAATATTTTTAAGAAAAGCCAAAATAAGTAACAATTAATTTAAATGTAACCCGTTTAAAAATACTAAGAACATTTATACATTTTATATAACATGAATGTTACAAGTAAAATTCATTCTTTTAAAAAATTAGTTTTGCCTCAACCTCAACATATGCCTTAATATGGGTTTGTTTAGATTTTGCTAGAACTATAATCTCATTACATATGCAGGATTTAACCTAAAACCTACATACAGTTTTAAAAAATCCATAAATCCTTTTTTTCTATGAAAATCAAATATCAAACTAAACTAGCTAGACTGTTACTAGAGGAACATGACATTAACAAGAAAAACTTAATTAGGCTGTTTTATTAAAGAACATGCATTCAGTGCAATATGCTTTACTTCAACCAAATAAACAAAGAATTGTATAACAGAAATATATAGTCCTGACATACATAGAAAAACTGCTCTCAAAATCCCGAACGTCAATCTGGAATAGCAGGAGGCCAGTCGATGTCTACAGACTGAAACACACACACAGAAAGGAGAAATCATTCAGATGACATTCAGCGCTTCTAAACATTTCCATCATGCATCCAAACCAGTTCTTGACATTACATATTAAATAAAACACACCTCGACGTCCAGCTCCAGAATATCAGCGTTGGTTTTCATGAGGTCGCAGAGGTTGGGTTTCGTGCGGCCGAAGTCTCCATGCACAAACTCTTTAATATAACTGCAGTGTTTGCAAGTGAAGGGAAGCCAATGCAATGATTTCCACAAAAATATGAAGCAGCACAACTGTTTTCAACATTGATAATAATCAGAAATGTTTCTTGAGCAGCAAAGCAGCATATTAGAACGATTTCTGAAGATCATGTGACACTGAAGACTGGAGTAATGATGCTGAAAATTCAGCTCTGATCACAGCAATAAATTACATTTTAATATATACTCAAATAGAAACCAGTTATTTTAAATTGTAATAATATTTCACAATATTACTGTTTGACAGTATTTTGTAAGGATACGTCCCAGCCTGTGTGCACAGCTTTAAGGTGAAGTGGTGTCTGTCCAGGTAAATGGAGCTCATGGAGTGGATGAGTC